CCCATCAGGCCCTCTGCTGTTGTTCCTCTGTCTCAGTGAGTAACACCGTCATCTACCCATCAGGCCCTCTGCTCTTGTTCCCCTATATCTCAGTGAGTAACACCGTCATCTATCCATCAGGCAAGCTAGAAGTGCAGGAGTCCTCATTGGACCACCTTTCTCCCTCCCTCACCTCTCGACCATCACACAAAGCTGCTGGTTTTCTCTCAGGCATCCCACACTCATTTACTTTTTTCACTCTCACTGCTGCCCACTAAGGCACTCTGGTGACATAGTGGTTAAAACATTCAGCTGCTAATCAGAAGGTCAGCATTTCGAACCACCAGCCACTCCACAGAAGAAGGATAAAGCAGTCTGCTTCTATAAAAAATGTACAGCCTTGGAAACTCTATGGGGCAGTTCTGTGCTGTCTGTCATAAAGGGTCACTGTGGGTTGGGATCAACTTGATGGCAGTGGGTTTGGTTTGGTTTGGCTGCCCACTAGCTTAAAACCCTTCAATGATTTATCATTATAATTAGGGTTAAAGTCTAAAAGCCTCACCATGGCCCCAAAGTCCTATGTGGTCTGGCCCCTACAAGCCTTTCCCAGCTTCATTTCACCTCCCTCAGTAACTTGTACATGCCATCTTCATCCCTATCATTACAAGGCCTGTGCACATGTCGCAGCTATTGTGGGGAGTGCTCTTCCCACCTGTCCACTCCTCATTAGCTTCCTACTCTTCCTACTTATCTTAATTCAGTTGTCACTGCTATAAGGAATCATAGCACTGTGTATTCTTCTTCATAACATCGCAGTTGTAACTTTATGTCTGTTTGTGTGGTAGGTAATTAATATGTATGCTCTATTTAGGGTAGGAGATCATGTCTGATTTTATTTACCATCTATCAGATATGTATTAAGTACTTACTACATACCAGGCCCTAATGATGCATAAAAGTAAAAAGACAGATACAGAGTCTCTGTTCACCGCATTGATTAGACTAGCAAGAAGGACAAATTCTAATATAGTGTGTTAAATGTTAAATATTGTGATAGCAAAATCACATGGTGCTGTGGGAGCAGATAGCTGGAATGCCTTGCTCCTCTGCTAGGTCAGAGAAGACTTTCCAAAGAAAGTGATGTTTAAGCTGAGACCTGAAGAATGAGACGGCATTCACAGTAGTTATAACAATCCAACAACAGACACATAGACCCATGGAATAGAATTGAGAACCCAGAAATAGATCCATCGACTTATGGTCAGCCGATCTTTGACAAAGGGCCAAAATCCATTAAGTGGAGAAGAGATAGTCTCTTCAACAAACGGTGCTGGCAAAACTGGTTATCCATTTGCAGAAAAATGAAACAAGATCCATACCTCACACCATACACAAAAACTAACTCCAGATGGATCAAAGACTTAAATGTGAAGCCAAAAATGATGAAGTTCATCACAGAAAAGGTAGGGGTGAACTTAGGAGCCCTAATTTATGGCATAAATAGACTTGCAAGCATAACCCAAAATGCACAAACAGTAGAAGATAAACTAGATGATTGGGCCCTTCTAAAAATTAAATATTTATGTGCTTCAAAAGACTTCTCCAAAAGAGTCAAAAGAGACCCTACAGATTGGGAAAAAATATTCAGCAACAACATACCTAACAAGGGACTTAGCTCTAAAATTTGGAGAAAACTCCAATACCTCAGTAACAAAAAGACAAACAATCCAATTAAAAAATGGGTAGAAGACATGAATAGACATTTCTCCAAAGAAGATATACAGGTGGCTAACAAACACATGAAGAAATGTTCACGATCATTAGCCATTAGAGAGATGCAAATAAAAACAACAATGAGATACTATCTCACTCTAGCACTTATAGCAAAGCTCAACAAGACAGAAAATAATAAATGATGGCAAGGATGTGGAGAGATGGGGACTCTCATACACTGTTGGTGGAACTGTGGAAAGCAGTATGGCAGTTCCTTAAAAAGCTGAAATTAGAAATATCATTTGATCCAGCAATCACATTACTAGGTATATATCCTAAGGAAGTGAGAGCCATGACAAGAACTGACATATGCATACCCATGTTCATCACAGCACTATTTACAATTGTAAAAAGATGGAAGCAACCTAGGTGCCCATCAACAGAAGAATGGATAACCAAACTATGGTACATACACACAATGGAATACTATGTGATGCTAAAGAATAACGTAGAATCTGCAAAATGCTGCATAACATGGATGAATTTGGAGAACATTATGCTGAATGAAATAAGTCAGTCATAGAAGGACAAATATTATATTAGTTCACTGTTGTAAAAAGGCAAGGAAAGGTTTATATATGGGAGGAAATTTTCCTTGTTGGTTACCAGGGATGGGAGAGGTGGGGAAGGAACACTGCTAGATAGGTATAGACAAGTATTGATTTGGGTAAAGGGAAGGCAATGTACCAAAAGTAAGTGATCAACACAGTGGCATTGAGAAAGAGGAAGACAGACAGAGGTACACGGGAGGTACAGATCCTTTTGCATGTGCAGTACTGCATTGTCAGTAATGGCAAGCATTGATCTACAGGTGGATAGATGGGTGGACAGGCTGAATGGTCAGATATATCTAGGCAGTGGGGAGTGTGCCTATGACCACGTATAGGGTTGGCAGAAAATGTTGCTACATACATATTTGTATGTGCTGTAAGAATGGGTGTCAAGGGACAAAGTTGTAGTCACTTTTTGGCCACAGCCAGCTACCCAGAGGGAGCAAGTAGTTGGACCTGTGGGCTCAGGACCATAGTCCCAGGGGACATCAAGCTCAAATGGTATAACATACTACACAAAAACATTGTTCCACATCCTACTTTGACAAGTAGCGACTGGGATCTTAAAAGCTTGCTATCGGCCATCTCGATGCAATGATGGGTCTCTCCTCATCCAGAGTGAAAAAGAACGAAGAAAACCAAAGATTCATGAAAACAATTAGCCCAAGCAACTAGGTGCACCATGCGATCCTCAGTCTATATTCCTATGAAACCAGAAGAATTAGATGGTGCCCGGCTACCAATGTCAACCCCTCAGAGGTGGATCTATGTAGGAGATCCTCAATAGAGTGGGAGAACAATGTGGAACAAAACTCAAAATCAGAAAGAAAAAAAAAAAAAAAAAAGACCAGGTTTGCTGGTCTGATAGAGCCTGCTGAGACCCCCAAGACTATGGCCCCTAGTTACCCTTCAGGTCTGGAACTGAACTCACTCTTGTGGCTTCTAGCCAAACAATAAACAGGCATATGGGGTGAACATTTACATCAGGTAGATAAACTCATTGGAGCAGTCAATCATGGGGGAAAAGAATGGTAGTGTTTGCACAAGGAGATAGCTTGGGAGGTAGGAGTGCCTGGGAGGGAAGGACACAGGGAAGGAGGTAACTAACTACAGGGAGGAAGTAGGAAGAGAGCTGTTACATTATGGGGAGTTGCATCAGTGTCATGAAATGAAATGTGTATGAACTGCTGTATGGAAAATGAATTTGTTCTGTAAATGTTCACCCAAATCACAATAAATTTTTTAAAACATGAGTAGACATTAAAACAAGGCCAAGTTCAATGGAGTATTCTAAGCAAAAGGTACAGCATGTGCAAAGGCTCAGATCTGAGAGAGGATATGATACTTCATCCCCTCAGGAAATGTCCTGTGCTTCAGCAGCTCAGATTGGGTAAGGGCTGGGGTCCTGGCCAAGTGCCTGATAGCAGTAGGACTGCTGAGCAATGGTCAGATGTCGTTGGAATACTACCCTAAAGAGCAGGGCAGGTTCTAGTGAACCAACACCAGATACCAGACACTGACCTGAGAACTCATGTCTAGTTGGTAGGTCATGTTTCTGGGCAGGAATGTCACGATGCTTCACAAGAGCCTTCTGGGAGTAGGCCACAGGTCTGTGGGTCACACAGGTAAAGCAGAGGTGCAGAAAATACTGGCACCCTACCTCAGCCTACTGCGGAGTAGGAGAGCCTTCTTTCCCTTCTGGGCATACTTCGTATACTATAGGCAGTGTTTTCACAAGCATCCCCACTGCAGATGCAGCAATGGAGCCAACAACTTCCTTCCCTCCCATGGGATCATCTCCTAGGCAGCAGAAACTTGTTTGAAAGGAACACACCTTTTATTGTATTGAAGTACTGCACTTAGAGCACAAAAGGAAAGGTTCCTGGAGTTCTCTGGAGACATGTGCTTTCCTCAATTCTGTGTGTTCTTTTTTTTAAATTGTGCTTTGGGTACCTATTTACAAAGCAGATTTGTTTTACATTCAACAGTTCATGCACATTTGATTTCACAGCCCCGATTACAATCTGTAACCATAAAAAACTCTGCTCCCCTCTCCTCCCTGGACCCTTTTTATCTATGCATTCTTGTCTATCCATCTTTCCCTCTGTGTGAATGCTGCCCCTCTGATGTCTCATGGTTGATTGATTTCAGGGGTGCATCTCCCTAGGGTAGGTGTTCTGCATATAGGTCTTTCCACTGTTGGGCTGAGAGCCAGTCTACGGAAGTGAGTCCATTTCTAGGCCCGAAGGATAACCTGGGGCCATAGCCTTCGGGGTTCTACCAATCTCTGTCTGACCAGTAATTCTGGTCATTTTGTCTTTTTTAATTTTGTTCCACATTTTTCCTCCCACTCTAACCAGGATCTCCAATTTTGATCCCTTTCTGAGTCATTGGCATTGGTAGCCAGGCACCATCTAGCTCCTCTTGTCTCGGGGTTGTGAAGACGGAGGTCCTCATGGTGCATCATATATTTGGACTGATTGTTCCAAGTAACTTTGATTTTCTTCACTCTTCTTTGCTCTAGGAGAGAGGAAACCAATAGTTGCATCTTAGATGGCCGCTTGAAAACTTTTAAGACCCCAGTCACTACTCACCAAAATAGGATGTAGAACAAGATGTTTATGTACTGTGTTGTGCCAGTTGAGCGTGATGTCCCGAGAGTTCTGTATGTTCTTGTAGCCCCTTGCTTTCCCAGAAGATCAAGGTCTTCTAGGTACAGAAGCAGGAATCCTTAAAGCGGGGAAAAAAGGTTACACTTTAGAAATATCACATACCAGATTTTTCTAACCTTAATCTGAGCCCAGAGCCGTTAAATCTGTCATTGACAGTGCACCAGGGAGAATTGATCTAGGGAGCAACTGGAATAGTAAAGACATGCCCAAATTAGAGCCACTCTGCAGAGAACTGCTAGCTAAGAAAATATAAAAAACTGGGACCTATTAGGAGGAGTTTGG